GGAGGGGGAGGTCAGGAGGGAAAGAACAAAAGCAAGGGTAAAGAAATGTACTCATTACCTGATTCATGTAACTATAACCCCTCTGTACACCATCTATAGAATAACAATTTTAAAAAACAAAAATTAAAAAATGATATGAGAAAGGAGCCATGAATTGTGTTTAAAATTAATTTTATTTACAGAATTTATTTAAATCCATAACACATCAGAATATATAAAGACAAATGCTTCCAATAAACAGGTACTTTGGAAGGCAGCAACTATTCAACAAATTTTTTAGTAATCTTTCAGTTTCATAATGTACAGAACATCCAAATAAATATATTATTACATTCTGCTTTAAATACTATTAGTCTTCCTTCTCTTTTAAATTTTGCTTTTTAAAGAGTATTAGTAAAACTGCTTTGGTGAATGACAACTCCTTTGTACAACTATTTAAAGATAATATAAATATTCTATATATATAAATAAGTAACAATAAAAAAGAATAAGTAAATAATATATGATTAACTAACATGAATAATATTTACTATAAATAACATAATACTTTATACATTAATTATAACTAATATGTATTAGTTATATTCTTTGTGGATTCATTACATATCAAAACTTTGAACTTGCTCATTCTCTCACAAATTCAAGCAAAAAGTGTGAATGGAGGAAATAAGGAAGTACTTTCCTTGAGGATTATGTTTGTAAATAAGGCTCTGTGGTCTTGGGAAAAACAAACCAGTTGTCAAACTAATGAGTGCATTATATAGTTTTACTTTGGAAAGCAATATGAAGGTTCCTCAAAAGACTAAACATAGAACTCCCCTAAGACCCAGCAATCCCACTTCTTGGCATTCATTCTTTTTTTTTTTTATTTTGGGTCCGATCGTGGGGCCTGAACTCTGGGCCTGGGCGCTGTCCCTCAGCTCTTCAGCTCAAGGCTAGCGCTCTACCACTTGAGCCACAGCGCCACTTCCAGCTTTTTTCTTTTTGCTTATGTGGTGCTGAGGAATCAAACCCAGGTCCTCAGGCATGCAAGGCAAGCACTCTACCACTGAGCCACCTTTCCAGCCCCACTCCTGGGCATTCAATCAAAGGACCACAAACAAGGCCACACTAAAGTTACCAGCACAACTATGTTCATTGAAGCATTATTTACCATAGCTAAGATATGGAAATCAACCCTGATGGCCCTCAGTAGATAAATGGATTAAAAAATGTAAGATATATACATACACACACACACACACACACACACACACAAATGGAATTCTATGCTTCTATCAGAAAACATTCATAAGGAAACGGAAAGTTAGAAAAAATCATATTAACTGAAGTAAGCCAGACCCAAAGAAACAGGTTCCATGGTTTCCCTCATTTGTAGAAATTAGTATACACCTAGCATAGGCCTAACAGAGGATCACAATAGGACATAGCTATTTATAGGATCACATAAAATAATACTAATCAAAATGAGCTCCAAGATATGGAAACAAGAGGGTTTTTTGTTGTTTTTTTCTTGTTGTTGTTTTAGTATACTGTTGGCAGTTATTTCTTTTTTTCTTTCATTTTCCTTTCTTGTGTATTCCTTGTGGTCCCTTTTTTATTTCGGTAACCTTTGTTTTTCATATAAATTTATCTGATCTGGGAAGAGGAGGGGAATCACAGAAACAGTGGGACAATGGGTGAACCAATGCAATAGAGGTACTCACTAGATACTATGCTGGAAATACACTTTACAACTTGGAGGGGACAAGAATTGGTAAGGAAGGGGGAAGGAAAGAAAGCGGGGGGAGGTAGGAATGTGGGAAGGGATAACACTGTCCAAAAGAAATATATTCATTATCTTACTTACATGACTGTAACCTCTCTGTTTACCTTTACAATTAAAAATAAGTAAATAATAAAATAAAAAATAAGTAAATGAATAAATATACATGAACATATGTAAGTGCACATACATGTGCACATCAAAATATGTGCATGTGTGTACATGTGCTGCACATATGTATGTGTGCATGTGTATTTGTGCATAGAAATATATTTTAGTGGAAAAACAAAGGAGGAGGCAACAATGCTTGATAAGAAATCTACTCATTACCTTGCTCATGTAACTGTAACCCCTCTGTACAGTATTTTCCCAATAAAACACATTAAAAAAGAAAGATATTTTTAAATATATAGTGCACAACATATATTTGTGTGTCTAGTACCCACATATATGTGCCATTATAAGTATATATGGATATGTGTATGCAAATATTTAGGTACAGATATATACATATTTCTATATAACATGTATACATTTTATACGTATATATTTATATAAATATATGAATGCATTTGTGTCTACAAAGAACTTTCAAAGCAATATAATCTAATAAAATTTGAAAAGGAAAGCACTCTATTGTATCAGAAAATTTTATTATTTTACATAATTATTTAACCTTTCAATTTGCATTTACTCTTACTTATATCATTTTCCAAATACTAACTGCCTCTGAACCTTGATTGCCTTATTGAAGACAAGGGTCAAACATATTTATCTTAAAATGCCATTTTCATCTATGGCATAAGTATACTATAATACTTTTCTACGCAAAGTTCATTCGTAGATAAGAAAATATCGTCACATAAAAAAACAATATCAGACTGCTGACTAGGAAGGAGACTGCCTCAGAGCCAGCCAAACACTGCTCACACTTTTAGAAAATGGTGCTGTTCCTACTTCTGCTCTCAGACCTGTGTGCATATATTTTGCCATTCCGTTAGATCAGGGACTACAGAGTTCCTCTTTGAGAGTAGGGTGAGTAATAGAGAGAAAGACTGTTGTTTGGTATATTTGAACTAGAAAAGTGCTCTTGGTGCTTTATGCATGGATGCATTTATTGACCTTGCTATTTAATAAACAGAATAAATAAACATGGCAAAGACTTTGACCTTCCAAACAGGCTAAGTACGTCAAAATAACTTGTCTCCTTCAAGTCTAGATATGCAGGTTGCTGAGAAATCACAGTATTTATATTAATCATCATTTACATTCCTGAGTTTGAAAAGGGGCTTGAGGGGAAAAAAATGAAATGACTTATTCTGTGTCTCAGATTCTGGTCCGTAAGCTAATTCACATCTTTAAGCTGTAAAGACAGTCCTAGGAAGTGAGACACATTGCTAATGGTTGACTTTCTCAATTCAGTCTTCCAGCCAGTATAATTAAAACTTAATTACCCTAAGACAACTTCTAAGCCAAACAAATATAATAATTATGGAGGGAAAAGCAAGTTTTACTTTAGGGATTAAAATTCTGTAAGGGCTTCTTTTTCCTGACAGGATAATTGTGACAATTGAAGCTTTTTTGGTATTTTAGCTAGCCAAGAACTCTGCAAATGTGAAAGTTACAAATAACACTTGGGAAGCCTCTTTCTGACAGAAACACTAACCCAGTGGTAGCAACAAACTACCAAGGTAAGTTGAACTGATACGCTTTGGTTTACTTATGTGTCCATGTAGCATTTTCTTATGAATATTAATCTTATTTCTTTTTTGGCATGCAAGTAAGTTAGTGAAAGTTTCTATAAGCTTTAAAGAATATACTCTTCTAATATCACAATATGGATAAAAAAAAGATGAGTTGGATGATTCTAGTAGATTTCATGGCAAAATACTTGAGAATACTTGTCCTTGTGCTCAAGCTGGGTCTTTGTATAAAGTTTTCACCTTCTGTTCTTCCAAAAGTTAGACAGATATATGAGCTTTGCTTTTGTTTTTCTTTAGCTTTTTCCCAGTCTTGGGGCTGGAACTCTGGGACTGTGCTCTCTCCATCACGGAGCTTGTTTTGCTCAAGGCTAGCAATCTACCACTTGAGCTATATTGTCACTATGGCTTTTTTTGAGTAGTATATTGGAGATAAGCCTCACATACATTCCTGCCTGAGGTGGCTTTGAACCAGGATCCTCAGATCTCAGTCTCCTGAGTATCTAGGATTACAGGTGTGAGCCAACATCTCCTGGCTGCTTTTTTCCCCTTAAAGATATTAGTTTCATTGGCATTAAACTTATTATCATTATTAACTTTCATATAATAGGCTCACTTCACTTTTGATACATTTTCTGTTTGCAAATAGACAATTGTTTTATTTGTTATGTAGCTGTCTCCTTAGATGCATACAGACATATATATTTAATATGAAGCATTCTTTCTGCATTTATATTCAAGGTTTCTGTATTTAAACATTTTATTATAATATCATATAGACAAACTTCATTTTTCATATGCCTGCTTGGTAGAAAACCTCTTGGCAATAATGAAAATATATGATTTTTCTTATAGTAATTCAAATTATAACTTGTTCATGCTATAAATTATTATAAATACAAACAATTCAGTTTTATTTTATATGTTTATACAACAAAGTCAATGGTATTCTTCCATAACTGAAGAAAACTAAGTCTGTGATAAATGTACTTACACATCTAATTAAGCCATCTTTCTTGTTGTTATTGTTGGTCATGTGGCTTGAACTCTGGGCCTAGGCACAATCCCTCAGGTCTTCAGCTCAAGGCAAACACTCTATCACTTGGAGCCACAGCACCACTTCCAAGCCTATCTTTTAAGATTGTATACTATATTGCTTCTCAAACTAGCTGGGAGTATTGTCACTTCCTTGATCTGACATTTGTCATTTAATTTTTGTAGGTGATTCTAAAGTATCTCAAAGAAAATTTCCAGATATGCATCAGAAATTGATAAGATCAAAGGTAAAAGGAGGGCTGGGAAAAACTGGGATCTTTAGGAAGACAAAAAAAATTGAAAAGCATTATATAATCCATCACAGGTCAAAGATATTTCAGTGCCTTCATTTTAAAGATTTCAATATCTGATTTATTTAATTAATCCTAATTTTCAGCTAACATTTCTAAGACATGGTTTGGAAGCTTCTCAGGCCACTGCTTTCCCTTCTTCTAACAGGACTTGGAATTTTAGGGAATATCTCTGTTTTTGTGAACTATATGCGCAGTTTAGGGGGAGGTAATGAGAAGAAGTCTGTACAATTGATCCTCATCTCTGTGGTTTTGACAAACATTATACTGCTGCTGTCCAAAGGATTGCCATGGACAATAGCAGCTTTGGGATTGAAAACTTTTCTAGGTGTTTTAGCCTGTACAATTACCGTTTACCTGGAGAGGTTGTCTCGGGGTCTGTCCATTTGCACCAGCAGTCTCCTCACACTGGTCCAGGCCAGCACCATCAGCCCCAGAAGTTCTGTGTGGAGGAGGCTCAAGCCAAGGTCAGCATGGCACATCCTTCCCGTGTTGCTCTTCTTTTGGATACTCAATTCCTTCATTAGCATGAGCTTGTTAAATGTTATCATAATAACCAGCATGAATACATCTTACTTTATTAAGACAGACCTCTATTGTTTTACTTTACCAAGAAGTCAGAAAATAAACAATATTTTTCTCACTTTCATGTCTGTGAGAGATGCTGTGTCTCTAGGGATCATGGCTGTGGCCAGTGGCTACATGGTATTTCATCTCTACAAACACCACCAGCATGTTTTATATCTTCAAAACTCCAAGCTTCTCTACAAAACTCCTCCTGAGATGAAAGCTGCTCAAAGGGTTCTCCAACTAATGTTTTGTTTCCTTTTCTTTTATCTGACAGATTGCTGGCTGTCTGTATATTTAATTGTCGCCACAGACCCTGTTTTCATACTAGCACATGTTCAAGAATTTGTAACCCTTGGTTTTGCATTTCTCAGTCCATTTTTACTGATTCACAGAAATGGATAGCTGAATGAATGTTGGCGGGCTCGTTGAAGGGAAAAATACTAACGATATCTGTATTTGATTCATTCTTTTAGCTAGTTTAAAGATTTCTCAGTTCTGTTATTCTAGTTGACAAACCAAACCATATAAAACAATTTATCCCATAATTATCTCTTCTCAGACAATGATCTGTTTGCCCTGTTTGTCTAAGTGGGCTTAGATTTCATACACATCTAGCAGGAAACAGAAATCTCATTCTCTGCAACCTTTATAAAGTAGCTTTATTGCTAATATTTGTGAGCCTAGTGTTTTATGGCCCATTTTGCAGTAACAAGGATGACAACAAATAGACAAAATTATTTGAAGCTACTAAGTGCATCATATTAACTTTATTCTGGTTGAACCAAAATTTTCTGCAGTAAATGAAGACGAAATATAAGAACATTCATATTATATCCTAAGGGAAATATGCCAGAGCCTTTGGAAAATTGGTATGCTTTATATGATTTACCATGAAAAATCTGTTCATCAGTGATTTTAATGTATGTAACAGGGCCTGTCATCGCTGTGGCAGTAATTTTATGATGATACATAGTCCCAACAACATAGAACAAACCTGTGATAGGTCTTCACTGTTAAAATAATAAACACTATGACATAATTTGACATCAGGGTATAGGGAAAAGGTGGACATTAATCACCATAGCCTGGTGGTAATAAGAATACTCTGGGTCACAAAGAATTGTATTGTTGACTGGTTGTGTGGTCTGCTATCTGCAGAATTGTAGAAAAATTAAGTAACATTTACCAGAGACTTCCTTGATCTTCATAAAGAGAAAATCCACAGGGAAGATCTAGTAAACAGAAATAGGGTTTGATCACTAGCAAAGATCACCAGTCAATTCTCTGACAGTAAGTCAATGTTCAATGTTATATGTGCTTTAAGGAAGGTGAAGCCAGATTCCCATTTCAGTTATGCTACCAAAAATGTATAGTGTTAATATACATACCAAATTTTCGGAATCCTTCAGATCTGGAAGAAGGAAATGTATTTGGGCTTTTCAGAAAGGAATGGCTGCTGGGTCTGAATCCACAATAATGCTCCAGTGTAACTGTGTACCTCCAATTAGCACAGGGAAGGTGATCAGTAGAGGTTGGTCTCAGGTGTCTGTTTTCTTTTGAGAAATCTACTGTTACTTGAGAATCTTTGTTCATCTATAGGAAATGACTTGGTTGTCTCCAAACACAATCACTATTGTCTTTCATTGTTTTAAATTTCAGAAGTTTGTTCTTATTATGTCTTGGTATGGATATTTAAGGTAGACTATATTCCACCTGGGGTTACCTTAACATTTTGATCTGTAGTCACCAAATTGGAAATGATTTGAGTCATATCTTATTAAAATTGCTGGTAATATTTCATTGACAAAAATCAATGCAAAGCATATGTGCCTATTTCTATATCTCTGGTACTAAAACTATGAAAATTGAGGAGGTGAAAGACAGTTAAGACACTCTTGGGGAAACAAAGGAGGAGGCTACAATGCTTGATAAGTAACCTCTCTGTACAGTATTTTCACAATTAAAAAAATAAAAATAAATAAAAAAAGCCACTCTTGGGCTCTGAAAATCCATACTTTCTGATGGTCTTCCCTGTTTCTTATTCATTTAAATTTACAAAGCTTTTGGTAGTGTAATTACTTATTTTTAGTTATCTCCTGCTCAATACTTCGAATTATATTTTTCTCAACTGAATTCTGATTTTTTCACAGAGAAGCCAGAAAAAAAAACAATTGATTTGGGACAAATTCCAGACCACACTTAGTCATACAGTTCCATGACTTAATGAACTCCTATTTATTCTAAACACTCAATAAGCCCTTCTTCTTTCAGAGTTAATGGGTCCACCCTACTCAATTTCATTTCCAAGTTTTTATAACACTTACATCCAAGTCAAAATCTAATGAGAAATGCAGAAAGTGCATGCTTTGTCTTGTTTTTATGGTGGATGATAGGAACAAGGTTTCGAATTAAAGCTGTGAGACTTAGATAATTTATTCCTTGCATTAAGACAAGGCACATCTGTATTAGGAAGTTAAGCTCTTAAACAAGTTACAGTAAAACATTATAACATGGAAATTTTAAGACTGAGTGCAGTGGCTCACACTTGTAATCCTAGCTACTCAGAGTTATAAATCAAAAAGATTATGATTTGAGGCCAATGAAAAAAATTAGTGAGACCTCCATAACTATCAGAAGTGAGGCGTGATGCCAGGTGCCAGTGGCTCACACCTGTAAGCCTAGCCACTCAAGAGGCTGATCATGATTTGAAGCCAGCCTGAGCAGGAAAGTCCAAGAAACTTTTATCTTCGATTAACTACCAAGAAAACCAGAAATGGAATTAGAGCTCAACATGTAGACTACTAGCCTTGAACAACAACCAAAAAAAAACTCAAAGACAGTATCCAGGTCCTAGTGCAAGCTCCAGGATTGGCACACAACTAAAAATGGAGCATGATATGTCATCCTTGTGTTTCTAATAATGTGGAGGTAAGTAGATAGATACAGAGTATTTTGGTTCAAGTTAATCCAGACTCCCCCCGCCCCCTGGAAAAAGTCTGGGACTCTCTCTCAAAAACAAGCCAGGAATGATTATGTAAACCTGTAATCTGAGCTACTCAGAATGTGAATATAGGAGGACCACAGTCCATAGTCAACCCTGGCAAATGCCAGACCCATTATTTCAAAAACACTAAAGGTAATAAGGGCTAAAACATTGCAAACATGATACAATACTCGCATAGCAAACATCAGTTCCTCAGTTCAAACCCAATTACTTTAAAAAATTAGGGGCTGGGAAGGTGGCTCAGTGGTAGAGCGCTTGCCTTGCAATGCATGAAGCCCTGGGTTCGATTCCTCAGCACCACATAAGCAAAAAGAAAAAAGCCGGAAGTGGCGCTGTGGCTCAAGTGGTAGAGCACTAGCCTTGAGCTGAAGAGCTGAGGGACAGTGCCCAGGCCCAGAGTTCAGGCCCCACAACCGGACCAAAAAAAAAAAAATTACTTGATCAAACACATATTGCAAAACTATGCCTTCTACATGAATATGTATTTTGGTTCAATTTAAGAAAAATTAAAAAGCAAATATGTTTAAGAACTAGAATATTTTGTGGATCTTTAAAGATAGAAGCTGAGAGCATTAAGCAATATGAAGACAATAACAAATGATATATTAAAAGAAGTCATGAATTTGTTCAAGATTCATTTAAGGAACCTCCATACTGCTTTCCAGCATGGTTGAACACATTTACATTCCCACCAACAGTGTAGAAGTGTTCCCTTTTGGCTACATCTTTGCCAGAATCTGTTATTGTTAGTTTTCTTGACAATGGCCATTCTGACTGGAGTGAGGTGGAACCTCAGTGTTGTTTTGTGATGCATTTCTTTTACGGCCAGAGATGTTGAACATGATTTACCTCATTTGTAATAATTAGAATGTGCCAATAAATCTACAAGTAAACTCAATAGATAGTAAAAAAAAAAAAAAAAAAACAAATAATTACATTTGAACATAATTAAACAACACTCTAAGCATTCACACAATGAGAACAAAGGAAGATATTATTAGGAGAGGATCACAAGGGCTCAATAGCTATGTGCATACAATCATATAAAATGATACTTAAGCAAATAAACTCCAAGAAATGGAAATAAGCCTTTTTATTGCACTGTTTATAGCTCTCTTTCTTTCTTTTTCTTTCTCTTGTTTGCTTTCTTCCTTCCTTCCTTCCTTTGGTTTATTTCCTTTTGCTGCTGTTTTGTTTTTTATTTCTGTATGCTTTGTCTTGTATATAAGTTTATCTGAATTGGGGAGGAAAAGGGAAGCACAGAAATGGTGGAACAAAGGGGGAACCAATTCAGCAGTGATACTTTCTAGACACTATGTTGGAAATGAATGCTATAACTTGAGGGGAGGAGGGTCAGGAGGAGGGAAACTGGAGAAAAATGAGGGAGGGAGGTGACACTGTTCAAAAAGAAATGTACTCATTATCTGACATATGTAACTATAAACCCTCTGTACATTACCTTTACAAAAAAGTTTAAAAAAATGAAATCCATCATTGCATTATCAAGGTAACCATCAAATACATAAAACTTGGATCCCCAAAATAGAATTGGATCTTTTTATACTTATCAGATTGTGAGATAAACTAAAATAGTGAACAAAATAAGATACTCGGGAAGTTAAGAGGTAGACAAATGAGAGATATGAAAGAAATGGAAGACTGTAGATTATGTGTATCTGTACATGGCATATGAAGGAGACAAATAGGTTAAGCATGGTTCACAAAATTTTGGAGTGTAAACGTTATAGAATGAATGTTTAAATAGCTGAAACTGTATTTGGGAAAACTTGAAGTTCAATTAAACCATGATGAGAAAGAATTTAGCTGGTATATATAAGATATAATAATTTGAACCCTTAGATTGGTTCTCCTAATATGAGATAGAATTAGATTGTGTTTGCTAATTTGAGGATAGAAATCTTAGTTCTTTGCATCCTGGAGATGAAAATGGCATTTGTAACCTAATCTATGAAGAGTTCCACAGAAAAAGAAATAGAGTCCTTTGAGCAAACTCTACAGATTTACGTGTATCATGACTGTCCTATATATATCAGAAGAGTTATATGATGTGAAATTTTTCTTCTTTTGCAGATTTAGATATGATCATTACTGATGCATACTTCAAAAGGTGGCTGGTCGATCTGAGTTTCTCTGCCTATGGAATATGAAATGATTTTGAAGTTGCTCAAGGGACTGGTTTTCCTCCTTCTAACAGGATACCATGTTTTTCCAGATTCCCTTTTATTTTAACTCAAATAGTGCTATGTACAGTGTGAGTGCTTTTAGGGTCAGATTTAAACTGTAAACAGGGAACTGTTGTTCTTAGATTGACTACTTTAAAATTGTTTAATATTAGATAAATTAAAGGTTTTTATATTATGGAAAAGTTACTAGTGCA